CCTCCCGAGTAACTGGGACTACAGGCACGCACTACCATGCCCAGCTGATTTTTTGTATTTTTAGTAGAGACGGGGTTTCACCATGTTGACCAGGATGGTCTCGATCTCTTGACGTCGTGATCCACCCGCCTCGGCCTCCCAAAGTGCTGGGATTACAGGCTTGAGCCACCGCGCCCGGCCCGACTATCAGTATTTTTAATGCTTCTCTTTCATACTAGAAGTATCAGAATCTTCCCACAATTGTAATTTTCTTGTACATAATAACATAATTGTAAGTTCTTTTCCGCTTTTCTTCATTCAAGGTTTTTTTTTTTTCTGATTATGTGATCCTAGAAATGCACTGTTTAAATATTTGGGCTGGAAAAAACTTTTGAGTAGCATTTATTTAATACAATTGGCATAACTGATTTGTCAGTTTCGAGTTTTTATTAACAGTGCTAGGGTTATTGTAATTCCTCACACAATTATGTGGAGCCGTATGTAATACGTGCTTCCAGCACCCTGGTGCCCATTTCCGCTCCCTCCCTCCTGACCAGTGATGGCAGCTTGCAGTTCTAAGTCCTGAGTTTACATTCCTTAGCTTCCTTCTATTTTCTGTATCCTAATTTCCTTTTCCAAAGTGCAAATGACACACTTTGGTTAGTCTGGACCCCTAATTGTTTTATTTCAGGAAAAAGTATGCAATAAATCTATGCATCATAGAGTTTTTATATACAGGTAACTCAGAGAAGGGTTGCTGGACAGACACCTCCCCCCCAACCCCCCGCAGTACACATGAGTTGCTCAGATCTCTCCAGAATATCCTAGAGATCAGAGTTGATCTTGAGGAGCCAGGATTCTTGCTGCTACTCTGTGGAGTTAAAATACATATGTGAGCCTCTGTCAGTAAAGCCTGTTGAGCCTAAACTGAATACTGAGACTAGAGTCAAAGATTTAATTAACATTTACTGTGTGCCGAGCATTGTTCACAGAAAAATAATCAGTAGCCTCAAGGAATTCACTCCACGGAGTGCGATGGTAGTCTAAGTATGCCAGTGCTGCCAATTACGGCAGAACTGTGCCCACTGTGCTATGAATTCCTGACAGCAGGGACCTCCAGCCTGGGAAAACCAGTTTTCCTAACTCCACACAAACGGAACCACTAGGCCCAATCAGGGCACCCTGTCCTCGATAACACTTAACTCTAGGTGTGATTAGTCACGTTATTAGTTGTTAATGTCTTTGTCCCCCACTAGAATGTAAACTCCCATAAGGACAGGGAATGTGTTTTATTCCCCCTCTATCTTCCTATTACTGTTTCAACATGCTTGATAAATGGTTGGATGGATAAATGTGAACATAAATTAGAGAGACATTGAGCCTGGCTTTATGGAGAAATTAATGTGTTTAGTGTATGAGGTTAAGCATCACTGGTAATTAATAATTAGAATAGAAACCACGGAGCCGTTTATCAGAAAAGGTATGTGTTTAGGTGAAGGTAGCAAGGAGTGGGAGAAAGGAGATAGCTTTTAAAGACGAATTAGTCGCTAACTGCTGTGGTAGGGTAGGGGCGGGGAAGAGTTTAGATGTGTTTCAATAACTTTTGGTTTTTTTAAAAAAAAAACATTTGTAAGTTGGTTCTTTACCTAATTGGATTATTTAGGGAATAATTTTGAATTTTGAATGATTTTGAGAATAAGATTGGCTCTGTCTTAAAGATGTAGCAGTTTCTGTTTCTACTTTTTTTTTTTTTTTTTTTTTTTTTTTTTTTTTTTTTTTTTTTTTTTTTTTTTTTTTTTTTTTTTTTTTACATTTTCTAAGCGGCAAAACGACTGGAACTCCGTTTCCTAAAATGCTGGGAAGGAAAGGGTGTGAAAATGCCGGATGCGGCTCCCAAGAAAATCGCTTGCCACTCCACCCGCCCTCGTGGTGCGGGAAGGGGCGCGTAGCTGTGTCCCGCGTTCTGATTGGCTACGCTGGGGCGCGGGGGCGTGTCTTCGGGGGGGGGCGCTCATCTCCCGACCCCTCATTGGCCATGGGTGAAGGTGAAGGGGGGCGTGGCTTGGTTGGGGCTGCCGAGGGCCGCCTGGAGCCTCTTGGGACCCGGGTTCCAGGTCTCAGGAAGACGGTGGACCACAGGGAGGCTGGCCGGAGAGAGAGGGAAGGACAGGGCCTGGCCCTCGGGACTTCCTGTGCCTCGCTTAGAGCTAACGCCGACGGGTGAGTCCTCCCCTTCCTCTGTTTCTGGGCGTGTTCCTCACCAGCGACGCTGAGGCAGGGGTCGGAGCCGCCCTCAGCAAAATCCCACGCCTCGCCAGGCGCTCAGCTCAGCCTGCTGGGTTTCTCTGGAAAAGCGGAGGCCCCACAGTGAATGTGCGGCCTTTTGATCAGTCCCGGAGATCTTCCGTGGACCCTCGCTTTTCCTTGCTTATGAACATTGGTCAGTTTGAAACTGGCAACAGGGCATACGTGTTACAAAATCAGAACTTTATTGAAACCGGTGGTGTTGTAGAGAAGACCATACTAACCCTAACTGTGTGTATTACAGAAGTGAATTTCACTCCTCAAAAATGCTTAAGAAACAAGCATCCGAGAACAGCCCACATGGTGATTTAACATTTACCAAAAGCATTACTATATGTGGGGCACAGGACTCTGGAGCCAAGCCAAGAATTTGGTTTGAATCCAAATTCTCCCGTTTTTTAGCTAAGCAACCTTGGGCAAATTCCTTTACCTGCATCTGTTTCATCTTTAAAATGGGTTGTTGTGATCATTTAATGATTTAGTGTATGTGAAGAGTTTTCTGCATATTCTAAGTAATTTGTGGTATTGATCTTTGTAGTCACCAAGGAGATAGTGCCACCATTTTCCTGATGCCAAACTGAGGCTCAGAGAGGTGAAGTAAATTCCTCAAGTCACAACACAACTATTGTCCAGAGAGCAGGCAGTCTGGCTCCGGTAACCCAGTTTTACCCACTGCATTAAGTTACCACATCCACTTGTTCACTCAGCTTCATCCGGCAAATTCTGATTTTGCCCCTTTTGTGGAACGAGTTATTTGCCAGGTGCAGGGAATAAAGCAGAACACTGTGCAGTTCCTGCTCTCCCGATGCTTATAAATCTAGTGCAAGTTGTTCATGGCTGGGCTGCAGGGTGTCCATGAATCCTGCTAAAATCATTTGTGAAATATTGTGAGTGTGGGTCTTTTCTTCTGGAAAGAGAGTCTGACTCTCAGATTCTCAATTGGTCTGTGATCCAAACAGAGGTATGAAGAAGTGTTTTAGCCGAAGACCTGTGCCTAGTATGCCTGACACACAGCTTGAACTTCCAACAAAATTCCTATTGGTTGGATGAATGAAGAACTTGTAAGAGCATAAGTGCTGTGGTAGGGTCCGGAGCAGGGTGCTGTGGAAGAGCACACAGGAGGCCACCTGCCCAGGAATGCCTCCTAGAGGAAGTGAAGGCAGCTGGATGAAGGGTAGGGAAGCAGTTCATTGGAACACTGTAGTGAACAGTCTCTGACCATATGGAGTGTTGAGACAGAAACAACACATAAACAGCTGCAGCTGTTGTCCCACTTGTGCACAAGTGTAGAAGTCCATGGTGCCATGAAAGCCTATACCGGGGACAGGGGGCTTCACGTATTCATGAAGGTTAGAAAAGTTTCCTTGAGAAAGTGACACTTAGGCCTAAGAGTTGGAGCATTTTGGGCATGGAGTCTGGCCCACAGTCTTCAAAGACCACATAGTAGAAACCGGTAGAGCGCCAGGGACTAACAGGAAGCAAATTCAGCTGGTGCAGGAGAGGGAAATGGGAATGAGGGAGGTGGCAGAACCCAAAGAGGCCATGCAGGCCGTGGTAAGGCAGTTCTATGTTTTATTTTATTTTGTCTTTTTCCTAAAATGCCATTGGAAAGTTTATTGCAGGCGGCTGACAAGATCACATTTTGAGAAGAAGTTGGAAAGAATCCCAAGAGGATTAACTGAATATCTGGATGAGGACAAGATCTGTGGGGAGAGACTGTAAAGTAAGAAGAAGAGAGGGCTAGAACCAAGCCTTGAAGGTGAGCCTGCAGCGAAGACAGATAGAAGGTGGCCAGAAGTATAGAAAGGGAAAAGAACCAAAAACGTGGGGTGTCCAGGAAGTCAAATGAGAGAATCAAATGAGTGGTCAACTCTGCTAAAAGCTGCGGAGGTCAAAAGAGATAAGGAAGGCTGGGTGTGGTGGTGCATGCCTTGTATTAGTCCTTTTTCTTGCTGCTGATAAAGACATAGCTGAGACTGGGCAATTTACAAAAGAAAGAGGTTTAATGGACATACAGTGCCACGTGCTTGGGGAGGCCTCACAATCATGGCAGAAGGTGAAAAGTACATCTCACATGGCAGCAGACAAGAAAAGAAGTGAGAGCCAGGAGAAAGGGGTTTCCCCTTATAAAACCATCAGATCTCATGAGACTTACTACCATGAGAACAGTATGGGGGAAGCCGCCCCCATGATTCAGTTATCTCCCAGTGGGTTTCTCCCACAACACAACGGAATTATGGGAGCTATAATTCAAGGTTTGGATGGGGACACAGCCAAACCATATTACACCTGTAATCTCAACACTTTGGGATACCAAGGTGGGCAGATTGCTTGAGCTCAGGAGTTCAAGAGCAGCCTGGAAACATTGTGAAACCCCATATCTACAAAAAATACAAAAAATTAAGCTACATGTAGTGGCATGTACCTGTAGTCCTGGCTACTTGGGAGGCTGAGAGGGAGGATCACCTGAGCCCAGAGAGGTTGAGGCTATTGTGAGCCATGATCGTGCCACTGCACTCCAAGCCTGGACGACAGAGTGAAACCCTGTTTCAAAAAAAAAAGAATGAAAACTCCTCATTGGCCATAACCACTTGGAAGTTATCTTTATTGCAAGCTATATAAGTAGAAGAGGAAATGGAGAGAAAGAGGGATCCGCAGCAGTTAGCTGAGGGCAAGAGAGAGAGAGAGGATTTGGGCATGGAGAGGAAGAGCAGTGGAGAGAGATAGGGTTTGGGCAAGGAGAGGAAGAGCAGTGGAGTGATGGCTGGAGCATCAGAGGAGGATACAGCTGAAGGAGTAAACACTTGGAAAGAAAGGCTCAAGAGTTCTCAGGCCAGAGAGGCTGGGCTCAGCACAGGAGCAGGGACAACCCTGGATAATGAAAGGTGTAACTGTAGGGAAGGGGAGCTAGTGACAGCTTTATGTCTGCTGAGAGGAGCTGCTCTCCTTTCTTTGTACAGATTGGAGGCAAGGGCACTGGTTTTGAGTGAGGGTGAGTATGGAGGTAGGCGGGAGGCCAGACATGTGAGTTGAGAAGATTTCAGGTAGCTGGTGGGAAGTGTGGAAGAGTGAGTCAACCAGAGCTTGTTTGAGGATGGTCTGGCAGGGGGAGTAAGTATGCAGCAAAGACCAGAAATGAGCCTCTTGGCCCCTTCGGGGAATTGCAAAGTAAGGGGATGAGGATGGAGGCTAACTAGAGACAAAAGCTACATTTAACATATGATAAAGGAGGCATCATAAGCCATGGGGAAGGAAAGGATTGTTCAGAAAATGGTACTTAGAGAGAAGTAAACTATTGATAAAATCTGTTTAGATTCTCCGCTCACACCCAGAAATTTCAAATGAACTTAAGGAGCTAAGTTTTAAAATTCAAACAAAAATATGGAAGGAAATATGGATGAATTTTTACTGACCATCTGGTACTTAAAAGCAGTAAGACTCATAAAGGAAAACTTCCCTGACCTTCCTTTGACAATGTGAAATTAACTGCTTTGTTCTAACAGATGCTATAATATGGATGAGCTTTGATAAGATTATGCTAAGTGAAATAAGCCAGACACAAAAAGACAAATATTATATGACCCCACATATACAAAGTACCTAGAATAGGCAAATTCATAGAGACAGAAAGTAAAATAGAGGTAACTGGTGTCTACAGGGAAGAGGGAATGGAGAGTTACTGTTTAATGGGTACAGAGACAGAGTTGATGTGTTTCAGACAGTGGTAAATGTGGTACAACATTGTGAATGTACTTTAAGCCACTGAATGGTACACTTGAAAATAGTTTAAATGGTAAATTTTTTATTTCTATCTTATTTACCACAATAAAAAAAGTGGCTACTTTGGTATGCTGAATTATACCATCAGCAACTGAAAATGAGCTCAAGAAAATATTTCCAAAAATGACATTATATCAAATAAATTTTTTTGTTTTTTGAGATGGAGTCTCACTCTGTCACCCAGTACAGTGACATGATCTTGGCTCACTGCAACCTCTGCCTCCCAGGTTCAAGCGATTCCCCTGCCTCAGCCTCCCAAGTAGCTGGGACTACAGACACACGCCACCACACCTGGCTAATTTTTGTATATTTTTAGTAGAAATGGGATTTCATCATATTGGAAGGCTGATCTCGAACTCCTGACCTGATGATCTGTGCAAAGTGCTGGGATTATACAAGCATGATCCACTGTGCCCGGCTGCACAAGTTAATTTTTAAAAATCAGAACGATAGCAGTTTTTCTTTTTTTTTTTTTTTTTTTTTGAGACGGAGTCTCACTCTGTCACCCAGGCTGGAGTGCAGTGGCATGATCTCGGCTTACTGCAACCTCTGCCTCCTGGGTTCAAGTGATTCTCGTGCCCCAGCCTCCCAAGTGGCTGGGACTACAGGCACGTGCTATCATGGCCAGCTAATTTTTTGTATTTTTAGTAGAGACGGAGTTTCACCTTGTTAGCCAGGAAGGTCTCCATCTTCTGACCTCGTGATCCGCCCACCTTGGCCTCCCAAAGTGCTGATATTACAGGCATGCACCACCACGCCCAGCCACAATAGCAGTTTTAAAAGGCAGGAATAGTTGATTCACAAAAGGAAATAAAGGTGACCAAAATAGTTTATTATGAAACATCACCCTCATCAATAATAAAAAGAAATTAGTGTCGTATCATTTTTCACATATCAAAATAAAAACTGATGAGAGAATCACTCATATTGCCTGTGAGAATGTCAATGGAGATAGTTTTTCTTGACAGGAAATTTAGCAGCTTCGCTTTCCAAGTGTTCACACATCTCTTCCGTCAGGAAATCTACTTCTAGGAATTCATCCTAAAGGAAAAGCATATGAAATGTGGACATATATTCAGCGTATAGCAAAAATCATGATAGGTGTACCTGAATGTGACGAAGAGAATCAATCCAAGCTGGAAAATACGCTTCAGGATATTATTCAGGAAAACTTTCCCAACCTAGCAAGGCAGGACAATATTCAACTCCAGGTAATACAGAGAACACCACAAAGATATTCCTCAAGAAGACCAACCTCAAGGCACATAATCGCCAGATTCACCAGGGTTGAAATGAAAGAGAAAATACTGAGGGCAGCCAGAGAGAAAGGTCAGGTTACCCATAAAGGGAAGGCCATCAGATTCACAGCAGATCTCTCAGCAGAAACCCTACAAGACAGAAGAGAGTGGGGGCCAATATTCAACATCCTTAAAGAAAAGAACTTTCAACCCAGAATTTTACATCCAGCCAAACTAAGCTTCACAAGCGAAGGAAAAATAAAATCTTTTGTGAACAAGCAAGCACTCAGAGATTTCATCACCACCAGGCCTGCTTTACAAGAACCACTACAAATAGAAAGGAACAACCAGTATCAGCCTTTCTAAAAAATGCCAAAAAATAAAGAACATCAACATAATTAAGAAGTTGCATCAATTAATGGGCAAAACAGCCAGCCAACATTAAATGACAGCATCAAACTCATATATATCGTTATTAATTCTAAATTTAAATCGACTAAATCCCTCAATCCAAAGACAAAGACAGGCAAAAAAAGCCAAGACCCATTGGTATGCTACATCCAGATCCATCCTACATGCAAGGATACACAAAGACTCAAAGGGATGGAGAAAAATTTACCAACCAAATGGAGAGCAAAAATAAATAAATAGAAAGCAGGAGTTGCAATTTTTGCTGATAAAATAGACTTCAAAGCAACAAAGATCAAAAGAAGCAAAGAAGGATATTACATAAAGATAAAAGGATCAATGTAACAAGAAGAGCTAAAGATCCTAAATATGTATGCACCCAATACAGAAATACCCAGATATATAAGACTTATAAAGAGACTTGGACTCCCACACAATAATAGTGGGAGACTTACAGATCAATGAGATAGTAAGTCAACATCGATATTCAGGACTTGAACTCAGATCCGGAACAAGTAGACTTAATTAACATTCATAGAACTCTCCACTTCAAATACACAAAATATACACTCTTATCAGTACTACATCACACGTATTTATAGGTTTAAATGAAATATTGGTTGGCTGCTTGTTAATTATTTTCTTCCCTCTTTTTTTTTTTTTTTTTTTTTTTTTAATGTCTCCATTATTAAACATAATTACAGGCATACCCATTTTTAGATTGCATTTTAGCCCGGGCAATAAAGCAACACCCCTGTTCTCTCTCCCTCTTCCTCTTCCTCTTTCTTCCTTTCCTTTATTCTTTTTTTTTTCTTTTTCTTTAATATATTTTAAAATAATACAAAAATACTTCCAAAAAAAAAAAAAAAAAAGAAAAAAGAAAAAAAAACATCACAAATAGCCTAAATGCTCAGTATAAGGAATGAATTACAAAATAACAATATATCCATCCCATATACCAAGCACTCATTTTAAATGTTTACAGAGCATTTTTAATACCAAGGTTAGATACTTACTGTGAATAAAATAGAAGCAGAAAGGTAAATTACATACATATATATATATATATATATATATATATAATGTGCTCATTATATAGGAGTCACAACATTTATACTTTTCACTTTCACAGTCAGCTGTGATGAGCAAGACAGATAACTTTAACTGGTAAAGACGACTCACCTGAAGACATCATAATTCATAGCCAACTACTTCATCTGTGTGGTGTCTGCTTAAGAGATTTTCAACAAAAATTTTGAGTCTTTGTAATTTTTACTTTATAGGCTGAATTCAGAACCTAAGTCTCATGTGTAGGGAAGGTACCACACAGGAGACCAGTAATACACTGTCTTTCAGCAAGTCCAGCACAGCCAGTTCCATGAGGTTGGAACAGATCCTCTTCTCTGGCTAAGCACTAGATGAAGCAGTTGGCTTGGTTGGGGGGTTACATTATACAGAATGACAGATCATTAAACATTAGAACTACATTGAGCACGGCAAGGTGTACCCACTGACAGAGGCTCCTGCACAGCGGTGCTAAGGGAACAGCAGGCTGTCTGCCAGGGTGAACGGTGATGTGTTCAGGTCACATATCATCATATATGCCAAAACATGAACCATTGTCTTCAGGTGGTAGGATTGTGAGTTTTTCCATTTCCTTATACTTTTCAGAAGTTGGCAACTATTCTGTGATGAACGTACATTGCTTTTATAAGCAGTTACTTTGGGAAACAGAGCATTTAAAATACATTTTTTAGGCCAGGTGTGCTGGCTCACACCTGTAATCCCAACATTTTGGGAGGCCAAGGCGGGTGGGCCACTTGAGCTCAGGAGTTCCAGACCAGCCTGGGCAACATAGCAAGACCCTGTCTCTACAAAAAATATAAAAATTAGCGAGGCATGGTGGCTCATGGCTGTAGTCCCAGCTACTCAGGAAGCTGAGGTTGGAGAATCACTTGAGCCCGAAAGCAGAGGTTGCAGTTAGCCAAGATCATACCACTGTACTCCAGCCTGGGTGACAGAGTGAGACCCTGTCTCAAGAAAAAAAATATACATTTTTTAGTTTTCAGTTACTCTTTGTAAATCTATTTCTGTCTAAAATACAATTTAAAGTCATATAAGACTTTTAGCTCCAGAAATTTTACTATGTACCAGGCAGTGTCCAAAGTACTTGATATGCATTTTAACCCTTACAGAGTTTTCCTATAAGGCATAGATTATGTTCTATTTCACAGATTGCTGCTAGTAATACTCATTGAATAGTTAGTGTGAGGTACTCTTCTAATCACTGCTGTCTTATCTGCTGCCCCCTAAACTAGAGGCAGGATTGGGTGGGGGTAGTTGGCAGCACCCCACGCTCCTTCCTGACATGGGGGACAGGTGTGCAGCCTGAGCCTGTGGGGTCGCACAACCAGGAATGGGGAGCGGGATCCCAGCCCCAGTCTCCCTGTGCTGCTTCATGCTGTGCCTCCTCCTTCCTGTTAAAGTTGATGGTCTTCTTAGAAATTTTTTAAATAATATTTTAATCTTGGCTTACAGTATTAGGAATTATCTGAAGAAATTTCTGGTTGAACCACTAAAACAAGCTATGTGTACAATTATTTTAGCCTCCTTAGGCACTCACAATGAGCTAAACCAAAATGGGAAACCAAAATGGAAAGAGTGCCTAATTTTCCTAATAGAGTAATCATGTATTTGGATGAGTTAGGACAGGGCTGAAAGTAAAGAGTCCCGAGCATATATGGCAAGGGCATTTAAATTAGAGTCAGGGATTGGAAATGGCTGCTTTCTGCTTTACTTTCAGACATATAAAGAATGAGGGAAGGCTGCCAACAGGCTAAATTGACCTATACTACACACGTCTGTGGCAAGACTGAGACACTTAGAACATTCTCAGGTAGTAAAACAAACCAGATGTATTTTCGTTACCAGAGACAAAAGAAATAGTGGTAGAGTTCATGATACCACCCTGATATACGGACCATTTTGAATTAAAGGCACCTGAAAAACAGCAGGTGTAAGATCTGACTTTTCTTCTGTTCCCATGTGAAAAATACCCTCCCTATACCAAAAGGAGTAACATCCTTAACCTCAAGGATGAGAAATTGATACCAAAAGAATTCTGCACGGTCCTTGTTAAATTTTCTTTTAAATCTCCCCATGTTTCAGTTGCTTTTTCGGAGCTTCCTACTTTTTGTGCAACTCTGTACATAAATAACTGACTCTAACTGCTTTTTCAGGTCTTCAATTCCATACTAGGGCTCCCATGCCACGTACACTTGCATTAAATAAATTTTATGTTTTTCTCCTGTTAATGTATCTTATGTCTGTTTAATTCTCGGGTCCAGTCACGACCCTAACAGGATGGAGGTGTTTTGCTGCCCCTCCAGAGGCAAAGACTATTAATGTGTCAGACACAGTATAGCCATCTTAAGATACCTAAAGATGTCAAGTAGATAGCTGATTATACTGTTCTAAAATTACAGTCACCATTCTGCAGCTGACCTGATTTTCCATGGCACCACAGGAACAGTCATGTGGCATTTTTTCATTTTACTTGGCTAGGGATTACAGGTAACCACCACCACACCCAGCTAATTTTTGTATTTTTAGTAGAGACAGGGTTTCACCATGTTTCCAAGTCTAGAACTCACAACCTCAGGTGATCTGCCCGCCTCAGCATCCCAAAGTGGTGCTGCAATTACAAATTATTTTAATTCTGGATTTATAAAAAAGAGTTTTGTTCACATAATTCTAAACATACACACACACATACACACACACTCCATTTATTAACTCATTTAAAATAAAATAATTGGCCCATTTTGGGTGATACTTATTCAGCAAAATATTTACTCTGAAATATAAAACTAGAGATGACCCTTTCCCTCGCCCCCTTTATCTGCTTCAGCTAAACATCAACTTAATAATATAAAACATTTCAAAAAAAACATGTTTGTTTGTGTGCATAATAGATGCCTCTTAAAATAAATAAGTTGTGGGAAAAGGAATTGGTATGAAAATAACATTTGAGGTCTGTGAACCTTTGAACTCTGGTCTTGCTGCTCATCTGTAAAATGGAAGTAACTCCACAATGTATTTACAAAGTATAAGATGTCAAAGTACGGAGAAGTGTATTACAATTACTTCAATTAATTATTTAGGAAGATTTTTAAAAATATTACATGAGTAGTTTTCGTCTAATTTAAATCCACCTTATTTCCCTACTTAGCTCAAATTTGTAAGTATATGTGTTCTGAAAGTCAACACCCTTATACTAAAAACCTTTATTTTCTTTTTTACAGATAGAATGAGTCCATTTGAGTCCCAAGACGGTGGAAACTAGCTAGAGGATTGCAGCCATGTTGTGGAAGCTGCTGATGAGATCCCAGCCCTGTAGGCTGTGTTCTTTCAGAAAGATGCCATCAACTCCAAAATATAGACCTTTCATAGCATGCTTCACCTACACAACTGATAGACTGTCAAGCAAAGAAAATACAAGAACAGTGGAAATGCTCTATAAATTTTCAGTTGACATTAGGAAAATTCGTAGATTGAAAGGATGGGTACTTTTAGAGGATAAAACCTATGTTGAAGAAATTGTGAATATTTTACAAGAACTAGGTGCCGATGAGACTGCTGTAGCTAGTATTTTGGAACGCTGCCCGGAAGCAATTGTTTGTAGTCCAACCACTGTTAACACCCAGAGAAAACTCTGGCAGTTAGTCTGCAAAAATGAGGAAGAGTTAATCAAGTTAATAGAGCAGTTTCCAGAATCTTTCTTTACTGTTAAAGACCAAGAGAACCAGAAGCTGAATGTTCTGTTTTTTCAAGAGTTGGGACTAAAAAATGTGGTCATTAGCAGACTTTTGACAACTGCATCTAATATTTTTCATAATCCTGTTGAGAAGAATAAGCAAATGATAAGAATTCTCCAGGAGAGCTATCTAGCTGTAGGTGGTTCTGAGGCCAACATGAAAGTTTGGCTACTAAAACTGTTAAGCCAAAACACATTTATTTTGTTAAATTCTCCCGCAGCTATAAAGGAAACACTAGAATTTCTCCAGGAGCAGGGTTTCACAAACTTTGAAATTCTCCAGCTTCTGTCCAAACTCAAAGGATTTCTTTTTCAACTTTGCCCAAGAAGTATACAGAATAGCATTTCCTTCTCTAAAAATGCTTTTAAATGCACAGATCATGACCTGAAGGAATTAGTTTTGAAATGTCCTGCCCTTTTATATTATTCTGTTCCAGTTTTAGAAGAGAGAATGCAAGGATTATTGAAAGAAGGAATTTCCGTAGCTCAGATAAAAGAGACGCCAATGGTTCTTGAATTAACACCACAAATAGTACAGTATAGGATAAGGAAACTCAATTCCTTAGGCTACAGAATAAAGGATGGACATCTGGCAAATCTAAATGGATCAAAAAAAGAGTTTGAAGCTAATTTTGGCAAAATTCAGGCCAAAAAAGTAAGACCATTATTTAACCCTGTGGCACCATTAAATGTTGAAGAATGACATACTGACTGATGTTGCTTCTTTCTAGCAGTGCAAGGTGAAACTAGCAAAGACAAAAATTCAGGCAGTTTTTAGGCACCTGTAATTTTAAGAACCTGCTTAGCTTCTGAATTGTGTTTATCTCTAAATAGATAAATTCTGACTCTTGCCATATTATAAATTGTAAACTGTATTCATTTTAATAACTAAAGTTGGTAACTTTTACCTTAAACCATTAGTTCAAAAACTCATGTACCATTAAATGCCATATCAGTTTGATACTTTATAAGTGAATCATTTCTAAGAAACGGACAAGTGCTTCCTTAATTCAAGGTATGGATACATTTTTATACAGCACATTTCATCTTACGATGCAAATCCAGTCTTCCTCACTACCCGCCATGAAACATCACTCTAGCTTAGTGTTACATGAAATATTAGCAAACTTCTATACCTTTTTTTTTT